TATAATTTAATTATATTTAAAAATTACAATCAAATTATAATATTATAATTAAAAAAGCATTTGAGATTAATAAGAATAAATTTTGTAAAGTGTCCGGACATAGAGATATATGTCCTGGGACGTTTATCTTAACAGGAAGATAATATAGAATGCTCTTTAAGCCTTAATTGTTTTGCTGCCGTTATTCATCAGATAAATGTATTCATATCGAAAAGTCAATTAGTGAAAATTTAATTGGACTTAACTTACAAATCTAAATTAGACGTAATTATAAGATGTTAAAAGAATCATTAATTGAGATGATTTATCAAGCGTGTGATTATGTATAATTAAAAAAATTTCCACAATCAAATTTTGCTAAATAGTATTCATTCATAACTTCGCCAAACAGCACAATTGACTGAATAAAATTAATAGAAAATTATGAATATTTATATCAGTGTTATATTTAAAATTGTGCTTTGAGAGTAAATAAATATAATCATATCCCGAATAATGAACATATTTAAAAACTTCTATAACATAATTCTATATCATACATTTTTAACTTTAATATTATCCGCCTACGTTTAACGATGAAATTTTTCTGTAATATTTAAAATATATTCTTTCACATATTTAGTTTCAAATTATTTGATGTACATTATTTTCCATTATCTTGATGTAATCATTAATTTTAATTAGTTTTCCAGTTTCTGTTATCGACGGAGAAATTTTTTGCGAAAAAATGCACTTTAAACCAAAATCAACGCAGCTAAATATTTATATTGCAGTTTACAGCATCTCTATACTCAACTATACATTGCATATTTCTTTTTAGTTTATTTATGGTATCATTCTTATAACAACAGTAAAACATATAATGTGCCGAAAATAAATTTTATTTTGTTGAACTTGTGCCAAATGCGACAATTAATCTGCATAATTTTTTTCTAACAATAAGTAATACGTTGCAATATTAACTTTGTGTATGTGACGAAGTTCAAACGAAGTTGTGTTATTCACACAACAATACAATAATACAACTAAAATAAAAAAAAAACAAAATCTGATAATTATCTCTCTTGTTCTTATATATAATTTCGATTTTGTCAACCATCTCTTGCAATATAAGTTTCTGTTCGCATTTATTCAATTTTCATTCATACTTGTAAGCAGTCAACTATAATTACTTAACATCGTGAAGAGAAGTTCTTATTCGCGAGTGTTATATGAATCTAAATAATTGTTATATTATAATCCCTCGTTAATGTTCGTGAGTTACGGGCTTCTTTTATTGCTAGATTGACAAAACATTTGACAAAATCCGGTACACGATACTTTATAATTCACGAGAAAACTGTAACTGTTAGATTAATTCAAATTGAACGCGACAAGCGCGAGATGAGAGACGAACGATTCGATTCAAATGGCAGATCGCGGTCGACAAAGCAAACACCGTGGGAAATAGTAAGGTTGAGTGAGCACGATGTGCTCTGCACTCCTCGATGCTATTCCGATGTTAATCCGATTATTCAATAGATCTTTTTTTTCCCTCTCGCGATATTTAAATTCAAATTCACTTATGCTTCCAGCATTAATCAAATGCATCGAATCGTTATTAAACGATAACTATCGTATTCGTGGAAAAGAGAAAAAAATCAAGAGAAAACGTGGATAGAGAGCTAGTGAAAAAATGCTGGCAGTTTGGGAAAAATATCAGTTAAATACGAATCGACAGGAATTTCAGCGTACGTGCCGAGGTCGCGTAGTCACAGATTAACGGGTATACGACGCGAATGGTATCGTCTTTCCTTCTGGGTGGCTCTTTCGTCCGGAACCGCCACGATTGTTCGTGGCCGAGTCGCACAGTAAGGCGATGGAGAGCGGAGTCACAATACTCCTGTACGCGTTCTTGCATAAATGGCAAGACATTTTCCAGAATTCCGATTGTTGTGCCATAGCCCGCGAAAATATTAACTCATGGAAAATCCGCGGATGGAATTTTCACCTGAGTTCATTGTCAGAGTCGACGGTTACTGGTATTGGCGCGCGCTATATAGTTCAAAAAAAAAAATAAAAAGATAGACTCGTACTTACAGACAGTTGTATAAGAGAGAGTCGACAATTTTTACGGTGAAACACGTGGCGCCATTCAAACAATACCACTCTGCGTAATCCGGTGGACACGTGTACATGTGGAATGTGATATTCGGCCGATCCGTTGGCGTCGGCGGCCTTGGTTTTGGCGTTGAACGTGACGAGCAAGCGTCTGTCAATAAAACATACAATAATCATTAGATCCTTTTACATGCCATGCGTATCGCTTTTTCTTTTCTTTCGCGCATGCTAATAAATCAGTTTCACCAGAGAAGATTTCAAGTTTAACAATTTTATATTCGCCCAAAAGTAGTTATATTACAGTTCTTACTTTTCTCATTACTATTATTATTATTATTACAAACAAATTTCGCATCATCCCATATAGATAATCGATTATATCGGAGATAATTTTAACGATTGGTGATCCTATAGGAGCATTTGGTCCCATTATCGAGATGAGAGAATACGCGAGTGAATAACCGGATAAACTACTAAGGCGCTTCAGGAATTTTTCGGTTTTTCCAGGTTCGTTGAACACAATGGATAGGGTCGTGCTTCTTCCTCTTCTACTCACACCCTCGCTTTTTTCCAAACATCTACGCACGCGGCACCGGCGGTGATGGCCACCCTAGCGAAAAGGTAAGGAGAGGAGAGGAGAGGTGAAAGGCAAGATGAGGTGAGGTAAGATGAGGTGAGGTGAGATGAGGTGAGGTGAGGTGAGGTGAGGTGAGACGAAGTGAGATGAAGTGAGGTGAGGTGAGACGAGGTGAAGCGAGGCGGGGGAGGGCGGAGGGGGATAAGAGCGCGTGCATCTCGCAGGCGCGAGACTGTACACAAAGCTGCAAAGTACAGCTAAGGCGGCGATGGTTGCATCTGTCCCGCGCGTGGCTGCTGTCCGTCACCTGTTGTAATTTTACAATCTGCCGTTTCCATACCCTAACAACACTTCACGCTCCGTACGCTCCAGTTTATCGAGCAGGCGCGGCGTTTTATCTTTCCTTTGAGAAACTCGCTCCTCTCTCTCTCTCTCTCTCTCTCTCTCTCTCTCTCTCTCTCTCTCTCTCTTATCATTTCGACTTTATTACTTTACCCGTAAACATTTCATAGTTAAAAGTAATCTTTGAGTTTTACGATTGAAAATATTTCGTTACATCACTGTTCATTTATTGTATTCAGATTTGTTGGTTACCGTAGTCACTTCTTTCCATTAAGAGCAACATTAAGAGATAAAGACCGAATACAGATGTGAGCGGGGCAGATAAGTGTGTTTGACAGGCGTACGCCAAAAGTTTGTCTTTGTAATTGCAGCGCGACGCGAGAGAGGCGCGTGAGGAACAGGGAAACGGATAACGATACTCTACGTCGATTATCTCGACGGTTTTACGTCGGGACCAGGTGCAACGTGACGCGCGAGTACTATTACATTACACACATTTGCTCGTATCGTCTGGCATAAGTCGCGCATAAAATGAGCGCTTTGTCGCGAGGGCGAAGGCTCCGTTCGGCACGGAAATATTCTGTACGGCAGCACTTTTGTCTGCCTTCTCCGCAAATAACGAAGAAAAAAAAAAAAGAAAAAAAGAAGAGAGAGAGAGAGAAAAACGACAGATTGTAAGATTGTAGAGCAACGAGCGTAACAAGTGGTAAAGAACGCAACACGGGCGACTGATTCACCGTGTAATACGAAACGATAATTTATCCTCCTTAAGTACACGCTATTTCCATGGGCGTTTCTCTTTCTTCTCTTGTTCGTTGTTCCCAATAATATACGACCGCCAAATTGTAACGTGGCTTATAAATGCAAATAAGGAATAGTATAAACACAATTTAAGGATACTCTGTAAAATTTAATTTGTTCCTTTAAGCGCTGTTAAACGATACAGTACGAGTCGAATATAATGGGTGATACCCATACTAACCTGCTATACCGAAGAGAATGTAGGAAAGAAGTAGTATAGTCGTGAGGTAAGACGGAATTTTGCATCCTCTCGCCATGGCAGTGACGACAGAGGGGTTAGCGACGGCGGTGGTCGCGATAGGCGAGGTTCGTGCAAGAGGATGGACGGTAGTCGTCTCGGTTCGATGGACTTCGACTTCGGTATCAACGTCGCCGCTTTCGCGAGACCGTCGATCATAGAATTGATGAAGACGAGGATGGAGACGGTCGAGGCACATCTTGTCGTTCTCCTCTTTGTCGTTATCGTCATCGTCGTCATTCTTGTCGTTCTTAACGGCCTCGTCATCGCCGCTATCGTCGTCGCTGCTATCGTTGCAATCGCCATCGCCACCCACGTCATCAATGTCCCTTCGATGGTGGTATCGTTGACGCGATAATGAATGACGATGACTACGATAATGACGATGACAGAGGCAAGGCGGCGAATGACAGTAGCCACTGGCGATCATGCTGTCGTCGAAGGGAACTTTGCTCCTCGTTACCATCAAGCTAATCTCCTCGAATGATATCTCGTTCACCTCGTAGCATCCCCTATCGTTGATCTCTCCTTCTTGCGTTTCCTCGGCAGCGCGGGCGACACCACCTGGGCTCGAACTCTGGCGCACGTGCCACTGCTTCCCTGAAACCAGATACCCGTCCGGGCGGCCGTTTATAATGTGTTTTATCTCGGGTGAAGACTTCGGGATCTAGCGAACCCCACCAGGCCCCACCGGGCCCACCAGGCCTGATGACAGGCAGGATGGGACGGCTGTTGGGCCGCGGCTGGATTCGCTTTTCAACGTAAAGTGCGCTTTTTTCGATTTGATCGTTTGTTTTATCATCGTATTATAATAATTTTGCATGGTTTTGATTCTTTTCTTAGAAAGAAAATGAGCGAGAGAGAAAGAGAGAGAGAGAGAGAGGAGACAGAAACAATAAAAATATATCAATAAAAAAAATGTAATTTTTCCTACATTAGGTTTAGCTTGAATATGATATTATGGTCAAATATTATGGTTATAAAAATAGATAAAACGTATTCTCAAAGATGTGCAAAATAATGACGTTTGTATTTAAAAAATCGATCTTTTGTCGATTTTTTTGGTCCTACTGTCATATCATACACAACACTTATCTAATTCCATCATACTGAATTTATGCAATATCAATGCGGTTCGCAAAAGGCATACACTTAACGAACGAGTAACATATGTGTTGATTTGAAAAATTTTGATCGAAAGATATGAGTCTTGAAAGCGAATCAATCCCAAGAAGTTACTGACAGCGATGAGTCGTGGACTTCAGCGGAATAACCGATACACGCCAAATTGTATGAGATATTGTAGAAAAACTAAACATGCATTTCTCAACCGTTTCTCATCACGTGCGAGTCATTGAGAAAATGGGAAAGTTAGACAAATGGGCTCTCCATAAACTAAAAAAATATAGCAAAGAAATATAGCGTGTCGATTGGAAGTTTACAATTCTTTTCGACACTTCTCGTACAAGACAAAAGGGATTCTTTTTTTTTAGAGATTGTGCGTGTAAATTGTGTGTGACGAAAAATGGATTCTACAACAATTGCCGACTCGCTCAATGGCTTGCTGACAAAGAGCATAACAAAGCGAACTTTTCATCTAAGAAAGATTGAGATGACTGTTGGTGGTCTATGTTGATGGTTATTCTCAACTTTTCCCCAAGTGGGATAAAATAAATAAGAAATGTTATGTAAGATATCAGAAAATGCAGTGAAAAATGGTACATGAGACGAATAGTAAATACATATACATAAATATATATAAAATATACATGGCGTTATGTTGCTTCATGACAATATACAATCACACATCGTTGTCGCCGTGTCACAACACAGTCATAATATTGAACTAGTTGTAATATAAAATTTTTCTTCGTGTACCATTTTAGTTGAAGTATCTTCTAGGAATTCATCGCTCTTTTCCAGAAATTCAGATTTTATAGTGAGTATATAAACGCGTTTATATAACATATTGAGAGAAGCATGTTGTATTGGTTGTCCGGAAAGTTCGTGCCGACTAACCTATATAATTTAATAAATGTATACTAAAATTTAAATTTTTTGCGTTTCAATTTTCCTTTAACATTTCGGATAACTCAATATATCTTGCTTTTTTAAATACTTCAGCAAAACTGCTCTTTTTTTTATATACGTTGAAACATCGACATTTATTCTGTTGTCATTCAATAATCAATATTTGATTATTAAGAATGAGAGTTGAAATTAATAACTCTTGTTTATCATTAAATGTAAATATTACTTCATACATATTATTAAATTATTGCACATTTCATGTGAAATTTTTTAATGAAACTGATGACTTTTATAATTCAATTTCAGTAATCTTATTTAATATAAATTTTATTTCATTAAAATTAGCAAATATTGGGTTGTTTGGAAAGTTCGTGCCGATGTTGTTGAAGGAAAATTGAAATGCAGAAAATTTTAATTTAATAAATATATACTAAAATTTAAATTTTAGTCGGCACGAACTTTCCGGACAACTCAATAGATCTAAAAATAATTTTGTTGGAACATCAAAATAATTACGTAGAACGCTTAAACGGTAATGTCAATACTACTAAAAGTTTTAACATTTTAACAATCAGTTTAAACGTCCCATAATGAAGTTGCTTTTAGATCTGTATGTAGCTCATTTTTAGTAAAAAAAATATATATAGACTATATAGAGCATATATAAATGTAACAGAATTATCATGAAAATATACGGAAAGAATTGCTAAAAAAAATATACATGTATATTATATATACATATTATGGCAATTAAATGAAATCTGCTATACGCATATTATTTCTGTGGGCAAAGATGTACAAATTAATTCTCGGTCCTTCCTTAAAGTCAACTATAACATTAATATTAGGTGTATTAAAAGAAATCCATTACTTTTCCATTCAATTTCATGCAAAAATAATGGATTTCTTTTTATTACACCTAATATAAATTGTTAAGTTCCGATCCTGTTTGGAATATTCAAGACCAACCTAAGAACATTAACATTTAATTATAAAGTTAATATAATTTCAAAAAATAAGTGAAGTTTGTGCGAAACGAAATGTCGTTTCAGAAAAAGCAGCTTCGTCACTGTATATCGTTTGAGTTTGAAATAAAAAAAAATGCCGAAAGCAACAAATTTGATATGCTCAATCTTTGGAGAAGATGCGGTTTCGTATGTTTTACATAATTTCGCAAAGGAAATTTCTATTTGTCGTTGAAGTTCGTTCTGAACTTCATCCGATAGCCAAAAATTTGAAAACCAAGAATTAGAAGATCTATTGAATGAAAATTCATATCAAACACAATCAGAAGTGGCACAAGCTATTGGAGTAACGTAGCAAATTGTTTCGGTACGGTTATAAAAGCTAGAACTAATCCAGAAAGCGTGTCGTTGGGTTCCGCATGTGCTTAGTGCAGACAATAAAGAGAGATGCTGTGATATGGCATTGGATCTTTGCTTTTGCGTTTTAAAAGATTTTCTTTATAAAGTGGTGACTAGTGACGAAAATCAATGTTGACAATCCGAAAAGAACAAAATCATTAGTTCGACCTGGCGAATTCTCGAAAGAGGTTGCGAAACTCAGAGGCTTGCCAATGATTGAGTCATTATTCTCAGTCATTTTACTCACTATTTTGAAGAAGGCTCACTTTGATCATCATTTTTCAGTAAAAAAAATTCACTATTTTCACTTTTTTCCGATAAAATTGTATTTTTGTGTTTGCTATAATTTCTAACAAAGTATACATTTTTTAAAATTTTTGCGTGTTTTCATTCCTTTTCTGTGAAATAGATTTGAATAACAATATGATAATAAAAAAGGCAAATACAAGTTAATTCTTTAAAATATAAATGTATAAAAATTATTAATAGGAGTTAAATACATACATCATAATAGAAAAAACTGAAATATTATTATATGTTTCAGGTTTTAGATTGAGCAATCTTCAGATATCCTCCTCTTCATACATACTTAAAATTAGTTATCATCATCAGAAATAAAAAAACCATGATATAATGTGTTTCCACTTGTATAGCGATCTTAATGAATGGAAGACACCAATTACTCACGAACGATTTTCAAATTATTGTTAAAAATATGTAGAATGTAATAAAAAAATACGTTAATTAAATGGTGACGATATATTTAATAAGCAGTATGAGTGAAAATTATGTGTTATATTTGTCGAATCTTTCGGAGATATTATTTGAACATTGTTAACGGTAAGACTCCACTATTAGATTTGAATAATTCAATCTCTTGCCATACATGGTAGCGAGATTTTTTTACTTCACATTACTGATTATTTAAGAAAGGTTATCATTCAAGCATTTCAGTTTTTACAGTTATTTCAATTCACATAAATAAATCAATTTATTGAGCGCTAGTCATAAAAAAGTGTTATCATGTTGCCATATATGTACTTGTGTCATGTAAGGTAATAGCTTTCATTATCAGTATGAAAACCTTATTAGAAAATGTGATTACTTGTACAAATGTGTAAAACTTATTGCAATATTATATTGGGTTGAAGAAAAAATTCTATGGAATTTTGATAGCTCAAAATTATATACAGAATATATTTGATGCGAAATTTTCGATATGACATGAAAGCTTAAAGTTTTTTTAAAAAATTCGTTTTAAAAAATGTTTCTGTGACTTTTTTACCAATATGTTTATAAACGCGGATTAAATAAAAGAATATTCTGATCTCCGTTAAAAATCATTGTATGGAAATTAATAAAACAGAATCTTAAAACTGAAACTTTGCTTTATCGAATATCATGCTAATTTTTTAAATATAAAATATATAGAAATTGAGTTATAAAAATGTAATATTACTATTGTTGTGAGCAATCAAAATCAGAATGCTTCTTTTTACTTAACTCGCGAATAACTCAAGAATAAAAAATTGTAGAAACATTTTTAAAAAATGATTTTGTAAGAAAAACTCCAAATTTTCACGATATAGATAATCGAAAATTTTCGTAAATTTTTTTGGCATATAATAACAGACCCACAAGATGAAAAGAAAAATTTCTCTTTTTTTTTTAGTTCGTAGTTTTGTATATATAAAAATGTCAAAACTTACATAAATTCAAAAAAATATAATCACTATTCAAAAGTGGAATTCAAATTAAAAAATTTTTTTTTTATTTAAATTTTATTTATTTTTAACGAAGATATTGTATATATATTAGGGGTACAAATTAATTCTCGGTCTTTTTTTTCAAATTTCAATATTTATTTTTAAAATAACCCAGCATATTCACGCAAAAAATTTTATTGTGTATTTGGTGGGATTACAAAGGTATATGTACTACGAGCTATTAAAATTAAAACAAGCTATTAAACGAGCTATTAAAAATAAAACAATTACTGCTTAACGTTATTAAAATAATTGATGCATCTAAGGGACATCATTGAGAAAAAAAGACAATAAGTAAGATATTACTTGCACGACAACGCGAGTTCACATGTAGCGAAAGCGACGAAGAAATTCATCTGTGCGTCGGATTACTTATTCCGATTGCTACAACATCAGCTAGCAGATTCTCACTTCCAAACAGAAGAAGATATGAAAAAAT